AACAAAACAACAACTGAGCTCTCACAAACCACTAACCCCTAAGCCCTGAACAAGCCCTGTTTCCTGAAGCCCGAACATTCGGCCCAGTGGCAAGGAGCAGGCCCGTTGCGATGCAGAAAACCGCCAGGGTCGCCCCTGACACGCAAAGCAACTAAAACCCCATAATATCCCTTGAGGCCCACACACCCTAAGGGTTTTACAGGGTTTGGGGTTAGGATTTAGGGTTTATAGGGTTGAGAGTCTTGCGTCCTTACTCTTGCCCCGTAAACTTTACATCCCTTCTTCCTCCAACTCTTTGCCTGAGCTCACCCCATGGTGTACTTGGAGGTTCATGGTACTTATTAACCAATAATAACTGTACTTATAACTGTACTTATGACCATATTAGGGCACTTAAGGGGCTTATAAGTGGGGGGTATAAGTACAGTGTTTATTGGTTAATAAGTACCATGAGCCTCCAAGTACTGCTGCTCAGCCCGAACGCTTGTTCTCTCGAAGAACCCACTCAACCAAGACATCTCAACCCTCAGTTCTAGTAACCTGGGCGGGCTGGGAAAGAGAGACCCCCCACCACGTAGTTGAACACTGACTGCTCTCGACACGTCCACGCAACTGACGCTGCCATCTGCACTGCTTACATTCATATCAAACCAAAACCTTCTCCCATTTACCCTAAGCCCTAAACTTCTTAGCAGCCAAGACCTGGCAGCAGGTAAATGCCGTTGGCGATGAGCTTGGGAGCCACGAATCCGAAGTAGGTACCTAAGTTCCGGGTTAGGGTTTAGGGTGGATGCCACAGGACCCTGTAAACCCTGAGCCCACGTTCGTTGGAACAAAGGTCAAACCTCGCCAACTCTTGCCCGTCCACCGCGGGAAAATGTGCAAACTTCTGTGAGGCAGGATCCTTGTCACAAAGTATCTCTCTCTATATACATATGTATATATAGAAGTATCCTTTTTTATACATATTCATATATACACATACAGACATGCATGTATACACATTATACACATAATTTTACATCTAGATATGCAGGCCTGCATACATATCTCTGTGCACATTCAGATATAGTTCCTACTTGAAGGTTCATAGGTAGTTATAAGTAGGGTTAGAAGTACCCCTAGATGAGGCTATACGTATATTTACCATAAGTGTAATCCTACTTCTAACTACCCACGAACCTGCAAGTATCCGTTTTGACCCCGCGCGCTCTGACGGGTCTGCAAGTATCCCTAAACCCTAAACCCTAAACTATAAACCCTACTTATGATATAAATACCGTTTAATGATAGGGTTTAGGGCTAGAAGGGTTTGGGGCTGTCCAAGCCAAGCAGCAGCTCGGAACAAGGATGAAACACCAAACGCACCTGACGGCTCTTGAGATCACTCGGTTTAGGGTTTAGGGTTTGGGGTTTAGGGGTTAGGGTTTAGGGTTGACTAGCTCTCTGACGGATGACTCTCAAGCAAGCTCGATGCCACCCAGGCGCATGTTTGGGCAGTAGCACTCATCCGTGCCACCTCTCATGGAAGGGTTTAGGGCGTTGCCCCTAAACTTGTAAGCGTTTAGGCGTCCGGACTCGAGGGTTTAAAATCCCAAACTCACCAAGTCGGGGGATTTCCTCCCAAAATGGGGGAGGGGAGCCTTTTCGGGGGGTTCCGATACCAAGAACCGTAATGTTTAACGATGTTTTGGCAGGATATACGCGGGGTAAAGTACCCCGGTTTTGGAAGATGCCCATCCAGAAACCATGCAGTGGCTGTGCTCCATGCAATCTTAGCCCGCGATCGAAATGCTCCCAATGGCCTCACAAACACTACGGGCAACCATTGCACCAAGTGGCTGGGCAGCTGCTACACAACTTCACGAAAGGCACTCTCAAGGTTTGACATTGCAATCAGGTTCAGTTGGCTGACGTAACTGCTTGACGTCCAGGCCTGTCATGCAACAGCCACAGCAGCAGAACATGTTCTTTGATGGCCACCTTGGACCAGCATGCAACAACTCCTCCCTTGTGCGATCTGGGCTGTAAATCGCAAGGCGCGGCAGGGCAATGGACTCAGAACACTTTCAGACAGGGTTTGGGCATCCATGTATCGCTCGTCTCTCCCCTCAACAGTGCCGTACACACCCCTATGCAGCCCCAAATTTCAAATGAATCTGGTGCCGGGCCAGTCTTCAGCCGAGCTTCTGCTGGTAGAGTCGGACAAGTTTGCCTCGCAGATGCACGAAGTGCACGGAGCACGCGGTCATAGCCATCATAACCGTACCCAGAGCCTACATCAACCGGACAGTTGGCAATTCAGCAGAAGATGTCCGAAATCACAACTCAGGAGAGTCGCAGACTGCCGGCGCAACCCTAAACCCTAAACCCTAAACCCCAAACCCTAAACCCTAAAAATTATATTAAATCCTAGGATGGCCTGACAACCCTATGATTTTTTCCTGAAGGTGATCCTGAAAATTATTCCTGAAAGGGTTTAGGGTTTAGGGTTTAGGGTTTAGGGACATGAACCTCTTCAACCCACTAAGGGAAAATCTAAGATGTCCAAAGGGCCTACCGAGAAAATTATCTGGGCCTTCCTTACAAAACTCTCTTGAAAAATGTTCCCGCACAAGGTGCTCTTAAAAACAGATACAAGGGAAATCTAAAGTATCTCAATGTCCCTAAACCCTAAACCCCTGAATCTCAGGGTAGTTTACATGGTCCCTGAATAAACGTGGACCCCTGATATCCCAACCCTAAACCCTAAACCCTAAACCCTAAACCCTAAACCCTAAACCCTAAACCCTACATGACCCGAAGGCTAAGGCCTCTGTCCACCTGGCTCTCGACATCGCCCTCTGCGTTGCCAATACAGTTTGGGCGTACTTTGTCGCCTGCAGGGAGGGTTTCCCTAAACCCTAAACCCTAAACCCTAAACCCTTTGAACCCAGACTCCTGAAGTCAGCTGGGAAAGGCCGGGGAGCATGACCCGACTGCGATGCTGAAAAGAACAACACGGCGCAAACCACCAGATGATTTTCCAATGGGCAACCGAAAACCAGAGAAAAAACAAAAAAAACCCTGCACCCGACACCTGCGCCACTGTCGTTGCCGCGGCTTCTGTTGGCAATCCTATAGTGTCAGGTCCAATGGTTGCAGCAGGGTGATAGGGTTTACGAGTGTACAGATGTTTAAGGGAATTTCGGGACCTTCAGGTGCAGGCTGGGTGCAGGCATGAGGATTCGGAGCGACTCAGCGCGCACGGAGCATGCTGAACACCGGTCATTATTCATGAAAGTGGGCGGGCATGCGCATGCACCAGACTCTGGTTTGTTTGATGGCATTTGGTAGGCATGGAGTCTTGGCGAAGTATAAGAGACTCGCGCCCAAAAACTCACAGAAACGTTAGGAAGGCGTGCGGCAATCGTGGCTTTATTTTGTTTATATTGGGTAATTTATATTCAAAATAGATGCGGACTATGAGGGTAGAGGTCGCATGAAGGCGCTCGTGTGACTCTGTGGTGAATCTCCGAGGCACAGGTTCTTGGTCTCCTCCTCATGGATGGTCTCCGCTTCCTCACAGCACACTTTGAGAGCCCCCCAAAACTCCGGTCTCCGAGTTTTATAGCAAGGAAGAACAAGGCTTGGAAGCACCTCATGCTAGCCCCCACCCCCCCCCCCCCCCCCCCCCCCCTAAACCCTAAACCCTATAAACCCTAAACCCTAAACCCTAAACCCTGAAGCCTTTGGTCCCGTTCCCGGAAGACCATCCGAGCCCTCGGATATCGGATGATGGAATGCTCGGCGGTTGAGGGGCTCGGCGCAAAACCCTAAACCCTAAACCCTAAACCCTAAACCCTAAACCCTAAACCCTAAACCCTAAACCCTAAACCCTAAACCCTAAACCCTAAACCCTAAAGGCTGTGTTAGGCCTCAAGGCAGCAGCGGCTCACCGGCTCGGGTCGGGCGAATCTTGCTCAGCCCTGCTTATCCACGCCAAGGTAACCTAGTCAGTCTCGCCCAGAAGCTCGAGGACCATGCCGAACTCAACATTTGGGTTTAGGGTATACACACCACTCATCTTGAACATAGTGCAAACCGGCACGGGAACTTTGCGCGCTCCGTCATAACAATTCTTGCTTAAACACCCCAAGACCCTACGAAAGCTACCCTAACCCTCATAAACCCTAAACCCTGAACCCTAAACCCTTCTTTCTTGCGGGCCCCAGAATCTTGGCGCGACGGCAGCTCTATGGAAGGCATCCGGTCGCGACGGCCAAAGGGCTACAAGGCCGTATGCAGTCTTCCAAGGTTTAGGGACCCCGTTCAGGGTTTAGGGTTTAGGGTTAGGACTTATGGAGTGTGGTGTTTCGGGTTGAGGGGCTTGTACCTGGGCTGGTACTAGAACGATCGTAGAAGTTGCAACCGCCATCCTGATTTCGGGGTTGTGCTCGAGCTTGCTTCCGGCGGTCCTGTTCATGATGTCTGGTTTCCACATGCCCTTAAAAGAAAACAGCAGATAGAAGTGGGAAGGACGTGCTCATCTTCCGAAGCACCCCTAAACTGGCCCTAAACCCTAAAGCCTAAACCCTAAACCCTGAACCCTAAAGTCTAAAGCCTAAAGCCTAAAGCCTAAAGGCTAAACCCTAGCAGCTGAAGAGCTCGAGGGAGCCGGACTTCTCAAACCACGACTGCGTAGCATTCGTTTAACACTGTTGGGACCCTGTCAGGTTTGCTCAGCCACAAGGTTTAGGGTTTAGGGTTTAGGGTTTAGGGTTTAGGGTTTAGGGTTTAGGGACAGCCACAAGAAGAGCTCGAAATTCGGGAAGCCCTACCAAACTGCAACCTGCAAAAGAGGTTGAAGACCTCTGCTTGCCTAAGAACCCCCTCCCCCCCCCCATCCCCCCCCAAAACATGGAGATACTAATCCCCGGACTGCCATTGCTTCCTTTTTTTTTTTGTGGGGGGGGGGGGGTTCCTTAAGCCATTACTAGAAGACGGTTCAAGGCCCCGGCATCTTGCAGAAGGCTCGCGAGCGCTGAGGGGAGGCCAGACTGCATGCTCAAGCAAGGTACTCTTTCACAGAAGGGGGGTTTAGGGGTTTAGGGGTTTAGGGGTTTAGGGGTTTAGGGGTTTAGGGGTTAGGGTGACCCACAGATGTACGCTAAATGGGGGTATATAAGTTTCGTTACCATACTTGTAACCCTACTTATAACCACCCATGAACCTCCAAGCGGGGGGGGGAGGGGGGTGGGGAGGTGGGGTTCATTCTCAGATGGAGGGCTTACCCTGAAGAAGGGGGTGACTGTTGAAGTGGTGGGGGGAGTGGGGGGTGGTGGGGAGTTGGAGGAGAGTGGGGGGAGTGGAGGGAGTGGAGGGAGTAGAGGGGGAGTGCGGGGAGTGAAGTGGCGGGTGGGGAGGTAGCGGGGAGGGAGTGGGGTTCATGCCCCCGCAGACTTTCGAGGCTCACGCTCGCACGAAGCAAGATTCGGGTTCTGAGTTCGCTGGCTGGGGGTGTGTCAGAGCAGGCGGAATTCCTGGGGTGCGTGTCTTGCTTAATGAGCATGACCGCCTAGAAAGATTTACGTTGTTCAAGGAGTCTGGGACCTACTCGTAGCTGCTTTATAATCCCCTCCCCGAAATATTAACCCCACCTAACCCCTAATATTTATGCCCCCTCCATATTCTATAATATAACTATAATTGGGAGTATAATAGAGGGCAGGGGGGTTTTAATATTTGGGGGAAGGGATTAAAAGCACTGTCTTTTCCGGCCTACAACTGGTATCGCAGCTTGGTCGATTGGGCATGGGCGTTTCTCTCGCGGCCATTCTCTCAACCAGCACGAGGCACACCAACAAGTCAACTTACCGACGGCCGAGCCGCCAAGACACAAAATTCCCTCTTAACGAGAAGCACCCAAGCAAAGCCCTTACAAGACCTTTCAAGACATGAGCGGCGGCTAGAGAAGTTGCCTTGCCGGTCCAAGCGCTCGGGAACCTGGTCAGCGTGCGCTCGGCGTAAAGCAGAAACTTAGCCTTTCGGGTTGTTGTTTTGCTGTGGCCACCGGCCTAGCTGAAGAAAATGCACTTCAGGGATTCATACTGATCACGAGCGGAGAAAAGTTGGCTCCACTACCGTCGTCTTTGTCGGTCTTCCCAACACTCAATTACGCCTCAACAGTAGGTGTATTTGTTTTTGCCATCTGCCTATAGCTAGCTGACTGGGTCGCACTGCAGGGCATTCACACGTCTCCTCAGGGACATGCCCTGGCTACGAATCGAACACTTTCTTCCATTGCCTGCCCAGCAGCTTCCATTCATGCGTATGGGGGTTCCGGGTTTCGGGTTGGGTCCGGGGTTCATGGTTGGTGCCGGCTTGAAGGAAACGCTTCTGATGTCTTGTCTTGTTGTTTTTGTTGTGCAAGTGCGGCTGCCACCGAGCCCACTTACAACTTGCAGGGTCGAATTTTAGAGTTCACTAGGCCGCGAAGGTCAGGACTTTGGAGCAACCCTAAGGCCCTAAGCCTAAACCCTAAACCCTAAACCCTAAACCCTAAACCCCAAACCCTAAACCCTAACCCTAAACCCGGAATCAAAAGCCGATTTTCTTGCGCGAGATCTCTAAGCCACGGGCGAGGCGCTGCAGAACAGTCCGTCGCATCGCTGGAGCAAAGGCTCCAAGCCTCGTTTGGGGTTTAGGGTTTAGGGTTCAGGGTTTCGTTTATTCAGGGTTTCGGGGTTTGGGCTTGCTACAGAGGATTTGTTGATGATTCTTCCTGAACCCTTTGAGCCCACTGTATAAGCTTTCTGCCCTAGACCACCTGTAAACCCTTAAGCCCTGCCTGTGTGGGCTCACGAGTCATCAGAGGGGCTGTGAACAGGGCACGCAAACGCTACAAGGTTGTTCGCGTCTTTGGCCAAAGGATTTTTGTGCCTTCAGCGGAAAAACTCGACTGACGAAGCCGCCGGCTCTTTTGGACCTCGACATCGCGCTCTCTTTCTCTCTCTGCACTACACCTTCTAGATAAATGGACGGCAATCAGCTTCAGGCGTCCGCCTCTCACTGGGCCAAGAGCCCGAGATGAAAAAGCACGGACAGCTTGGAGCTCTAAGTCTACTATAGGTCCAGAGGGTCCAAATACCCTGTATCTATGGTTTTGTAGGGCCCCCAGAACCCCTAGGCTTGTGGACCTTCCAAAATACAAACATAGGGTCTTTGGACCCTCTTGGAAAAGTATTCAAGAATGTAGCTACTCTAAGAGTCTAAGACTGCGAGGAGATGGGTCAGGAGATGTGAGCAGCTTTGTCTTGAGCTCATTTGTGTCGGTGCACCGGTGTGCGTGCGCCGACCACGGCTGACTGCATCCACATTCATATGCCGGGAACGTGTCCGCAAGCGGACTAAGCCGATCTAGCAACCTGCTCAGGTCTTAGGGTTGGCTTTGAGCACATGTGATCCAAGTGTTCTCTGGCAACAACCAAGACCCAACCAGGATAAAACAAAATGATCGTTCGGATGGCCGGTCAATTGCCGAAGGGCTGCAGCGGAGCTGCACACGGACGGTGTGCCGGCTTGCGCTAGCTGAAGATCTAGATTCTAGACTGTCCAGAACTCAACAGCCACTTCGCCAAAGGAGGATGATGGCGCGGCATGCGGTTTTTTTCGAACTCCAACCGTATGCTACTCATCAAGAGCCAGCAGGCGGGCGAACCCACAATGATGCCAAGTGCTCGTTCCACCATTTTTGCGTCTCTCCTTTGTCGGTCTTTTGGTTCTCTATATATAGTGGCACAGCTGCCCTCTGAGCTCAATCAAGGGCCACTAGTTCATGGTTGGGACAATATCAAAGATTTCAGTTTTATTCCTTATAGGGTTTAAGTACCCTTGAAAATGTACAAGGAAGATTGTTTGCTATTCCTTATAGGGTTTAAGTACCCTTAAAGATGTAAAAGGGTACCCAACTACGACAAAGGCCAAGAAGCCCCCCGGGCAAACTTTGCCCCCGATGTGTTTTCATTTCGGCTGATGTCCTCCTGCCGCATTGCAGCGGCCTTAGGGTTTAGGGTTAGTAGAAATCTTCTGAAGTATATGGGAATGGCCGAAGTATGTGCTTCTCCCAAGCGGGGGTCTGCGTCTGAAAGCCTTGGTGCAAATACTAGTCGACTGGCCAAGAAATTGCGCTATGGCCCTATGAGCTGTGAATGGCAAGCATCAGTCCTTCTAGCTAGATCTAAGGAAATGTGTCCCAAGCTAAGCCGCGCAGGGAGGATGGCAAAATGGCGAGCAGCGTGTAGCAGTGTAGCATAAGATGTACAAGCAGAGAGCGACAACTTTCGCGAACAAATAAACACGCCAGTATTCCACAACACGCTGCAAACACCAAGTGCGCTCATTGGCTACCCTCCCGCGTTGCTCATTCGTCGGTTCTCCAGGGTAATAAGCATTCATCCAACAGTCTGAGCTCAAGGGCCGAGAAGGATCCTACAGAAATTGGCGCTTATTGCCCATCCACTATGCAATCTTTGCTCGAGCTCAGGGTCTGGGAACGTGACGAGGCCGACGGGCCTTCTTTCAATGTCCACTTGCAACCTTGCCGGAAGCGGACTGAGCCTGCCTTTCAAACTGTCGGCGTGGGGCTAGTTTGAGAACAGCAATGCAGATCCAGCATCGCTGATTCCATGCGAACCCTCAGCCCAAGCCAAGCAGCAAAAACTCAGCCCAAGCCAAGCGGCAATACCGGGGTTAGCAGAATGATGGTTCCTGGCCGTGCAGTCGGTGCAGTCGCCTCATAACTGCAGCAGAGCTGTACACGGCAGGTGCTTCCAAGCCAGATCTCCAATCTAGACTTCGCCCACGGAAGCGGACATGAGGAGGGAGATGAGGAAACTGCGCGCAGCGCCACAAACACACAAAGCTGAAATCTCATGAGGTATCATCATACGGTCGAAGCCGCAAGACTTCCGACAATGACAGCTGCACTGCTGCCGCGGCACATTCGCCACTCTCCCGCACCTGTTTTGGCGCCTGAGCCTTACAGTTAATATGCCCACCGTTTCAAAAATCTGGGTCCTCACTTTCCATGTTTGCTTTGTTTATTTTTATGAGGGTGGGTCGCGGAGGGGGAGTGGCTTAGGAAGGCTTCTGTAGAGAAGGCGACCGCCAAGAACCGAAGAAGAAGTAGTAGTAGTAGTAGTAGTAGTAGTAGTAGTAGTAGTAGTAGGTGGTGGTGACACGCTCTTAACTGATCATGGTGCTTTCTGCTGTTTCTTTACTTTTTCTCTTGTTTTCTCCTGTTTTTTCTGCGTTTGAGGGGTTGGGGGGGTTGGGGGGGGGGAACGTGCTGTGCTTTGTGTACACAGGACCACGCTGTCTACTGTTTTTCCTCCTTTTTTTTTTGCGTTTGAGGGGTTGGGGGGGGGGGGGGGGGGTTGGGGGGGAGGGCTAATTACGTGCTGTGCTTTGTGCACCATGACCACGCTGTCTACTGTTTTTCCTCTGTTCTTTTTTTGTTTTGATCTGTTTCTTTTGTTTTCTCCTTTTTTTTGGCGTTTGAGGGGTTGCGGGGGGGGGGGGTTAATTAGGTACCCCACAGGCTGAAACAAGGCCAAGCCCCTTAAGCCAACCTTTTCCCTAAACCCCAATGCCTCCAGCAAGCCCAACAGTCGTGCACCGCGAAATCCTCAACCCCAAAGCCTCAAGCAAGCCCCAAACTCGTGTACCCTTAAAACCTAAACCCCAAAGCCTCCAGCAAGATCAGACCCCTCAACCCTACCCTTCAACCCGTAACGCCTCAAGCAAGGGCAAACCCTTTCACCTTACCCTTAAACCCTAGACCCCGCAGCCTCCAGTGTCAGCCCAAAAGGTCTCTACCCTTAAGCCCGAAACCCCCAAATCTCCAGTGCAAACCCAAAAGGTTTCTGCCCTTAACACCCAAACCCTATACCTATTCTTAAACCCAAAAGATCTCCACCCTTCAGCCCTAAACCCCACATCTCCTGTGCAAGCCCAAAAAAAGCGTTTCGAATTAAGAACGTGACGCCTAGTAGTAGTAGTAGTAGTAGTAGTAGTAGTAGTAGTAGTAGTAGTAGTAGTAGTAGTAGTAGTAGTAGTAGTAGTAGTAGTAGTAGTAGTAGTAGTAGTAGTACGCTCCGCGCGTATTCGACGCCGCGTCCGTCTACATACTCGTAGTCGTAGTAGTAGAAGTAGTAGTAGTAGTAGTAGTAGTAGTAGTAGTAGTAGTAGTAGTAGTAGTAGTAGTAGTAGTAGTAGTAGTAGTAGTAGTAGGAGGTTTGTCCCCGCTGGTGCGACGGACAAAACACACTTTTTTAGGGCGTTTCGCTTGGGTTTTTGACAGTGACTGTTTAAAATGTGCAAAAACACATATAAAAGTGTCGTTTTTAAAGGTTTCTTTGAAAAAACATTACGTTTTCGACGACAAAATGCTCTAAATACCAGCATTCGCACTCGATATTTTTCGGAAATTTAGGCTTTCTTTGCGACTCCAAAAAAACACTGATTTTCCGCCTCGATTTTGCCGATCGCGTTTTTGTCTTTTTTTCTGCGACCGGAAATTCTGTAAATACCAGCATATCTGCTGTTACAGTCGCCGAAAATGCTGTAAATTCCAGCATTTTCGTACTCGATGAAGAGGACAAGCGCACCATGCAGCGCAAATTTACTGCGCAACGCATCCTATCTTTTGCGGGGTGGGGTTGGGGGGTGGGGTAATTACGTTTCAGATCGGCGAACTTTGTGTGTTACCCGTGCATGCGAACAGGGTATAGGGTACAGAGTGTAGGGTCTAGGGTATAGAGTTGAGGGGAAGGGTTCCAGGTGCCTACTGGGCTTAGGGTTTAGATCTGAGACCTTCTTCTCAAACGAAGTGCTGCTGCAATGAACAGCATGACATACTCTTCGGGTTGGCGCGTTCATCTTGACGAGTCCAACGGCATCCGTCGCACTGGGGGGGGGGGGGGGGGGGGGGGGGGGGGTAGCATAGTAGTAGTAGTAGTAGTAGTAGTAGTAGTAGTAGTAGTAGTAGTAGTAGTAGTAGTAGTAGTAGTAGTAGTAGTAGTAGTAGTAGTAGTAGTAGTAGTAGTAGTAGCAGTAGTAGTAGTAGTAGTAGTAGTAGTAGTAGTAGTAGTAGTAGTAGTAGTAGCAGTATAGGAGGAGGAGTTGGTAGGATGAGCAGTATTAGTGGTGCGCTGGCGAAGACTAGAAGGCAGTTTGGATTCAATAGTTGGCCCTCCCCCCCTTGAACCCCCCCTGCAGAACATCATTTCATGGTCCTCCGGTTCGGCAACCATCTCGAAAATTCTGCGAAACGGTTTTGCTGAATCGGGGGCTCTTGGCACATGTAATTAGACTTGCACATTGCTTGCAACGAGCTTTCTTGAACCCTTCAGGCAGCATTCTGGATGTTGCTTCCACGCTGCATCGCCATGCGCCTTGCACGCTCAAGCGCGAGCGCTCCTGTGATTTTTGCAGACTCAACGGCCAGCGACTTGGAATCACGCCGAAGGAGCGTCACCTCATCACTCTCCCCTAAGGCCTTGCCCAGGATCTCATGACGGGATAAGCCTCGGTTGTGGCTGATGAGCTGCTGTTCTTGCGTCGGGATTCCCGCAGACTTGGCAATCATCTTTTGTGCCTCGAAGACCGTAGTAGCACCCAGGTCCACCGAGATCGTGCACAGCGGACCAGCCAGGCCCACAACGCGCAGGGACCTAGGTTTAAAGCCCTGTTTTGCTTGAAACCCTCTGAAGAAAACATCCCTGGAGATGATATCCTCTTTAATACCCAAGAGGGTTGAAAATGTAAGATCTCCCAATTAAGTGCGGAGAGACCCCTCCACCCGGGCTTCTGTCACCTTCTTGGCAGGAGCTTTGCGGCGTCTGGGCGGCCGCGGCTGCTGCGAGGGCTCTGCACAAGGCCACATTGCTCCAGGTGGTGGACACGGCCGGGCAACCCCTCCACTTCTTTCAGAAGGGTTTAGGGCAACCCCTCCGCTACAGGCTTAATTCACCTGGATTCCTGGGAGCCCTATACCGGCTCTGCAAGAGCAGCGCCAGTCCGTGGCAAGGTCTGGAAATGCGCAACTTGGGGATTGCCACCTCACTCAGTGACCCTGGGTATGTTCTACGCTTCATCTTCTGCTGCGGTGCCTTCACGTGGACGCTCGGCATCCAAGGTGATGAAGGGCTGCGCTCCGTCCCCTGCGAAGCTGCAGAGAAGGAACTTGCCCAAGGCTTCATGGGGCTCTGCATACTGGAACTTACGGCAGTCTTTCGCGCATGCGGTGTGACTTCATTTCAGCGATGCTGGCTGTCAGCACAAAGACTGACCTAAATACGGTGGTCTCAAGTGCAAGCTGGAGACTCCTTGTCTTAGTTTAGCCCGTAACCCTAAACTCAGTGAGGTACCGAGCCGCAACTCGGATGTCAACAACCAGAGCTTGCCCTTAAGGGGACTCACGAGTGGTGTACTTGCCATGTGCTATGCGTACCGTGAGCTAATGCAAAGAAATAAGAGAAGTTCGTAAATCTATGGTCCACAACTAAACCCTACTCTTACCGAGTACTGCATAGCCCCGGTTAATGCCAACCAGAAACCAAAGCCCTAAACCGGTGACCCTAGCCCCCCAACCACCGCTTAGGGCCTGCGGTCCATACACCTCAAACACGTAGGCTAGAAAGCGTATCGCGGAGGCAACCACGCAGGCCACCTGCTTCCCTTACCCAGTCTTAACCTTTAAACCCTAAACCCGAAACCTTGAACCCTAAACCCTAAACCCTAAACCTCCCATCTACTGTGGCTGCCAAGGTGGCCTCGGGAGCTCAGAGCAGCATCCACCAGGACGAGGGATGCCTCAAGCAAGAGCAGGGTTCTTCTCGCTGGTCGCGGGAGGTGCATTGTAGAATCCATTGAACCCTTGGTTTCCTAAACCGAACCTGGCGGCCGAAGGCCACATGCTACAAGCATGTGCAGCAGCACCAGCGCTACCACCCCCACTGCGCCCCCCTCCCCCTCCCCGAACCACCATCACCATCACCCCTTACACAAAGGCCCACTGCCGCCTAAAGCAGCAGCGTCATCGTCATCGTCGTCATGCCCCGTACCCATCATGCCCATGAAGATGGCGTCACACAAACAAAACATTTGACCTTGCTGATCCTTGCTGGCCTCTGGATGCCGCCCATCGAGGTGGATCAACTTTGCGTCCCTGCGGGCGAGGCTGTCACAAGTAAGGGGTCCAGCTTGCACGCATGCCTGCCGGAAGCATGATCCATGCAGAACCAGCTGACGTGGACTGATTGTTGTTGTTGTTGTTTTTATTTTTCTATTTTTTTTTTGGGGGGGGAGGAGGGGGCGACACGCTGCCCCGGCACCCAACAATAGCAAAAACGTTGTCCTACACAAGCGTTGTTCCGTGTTCTCGATGCCTTGACCGCCATGCAGCTCCAAACGCAAGAGAATGCAAGGCTACTTGTATTGTCTCCAGAGTTCCGGGTGCGTTTAGGGTTTAGGGTTGAACATATCCAGCGCGAGCTAGGACTTCTGCACGTGCAGCCGTTGCACTGAATCCTCCAAACGCTCAAGAATGAAACCTTACAAGACGATGGCTCCACGCTCACTTCGTTTTCAACACGACTTCCTCTTCGAGGTGGGGCAGCCTTCTGTCATCTCTTGTGCACTGCAAACAGGGGGTGGGATGTCACTGCCCCTAGAATTAAGTATTTCGAAGATCTTCACCCCTACAGCCCCTAACATCTTCATAACCTTTTGCTCACGCATCCCCTTTTTTCCTATACAGCATCTGAACCCTAAACATCGTAACCCCCTAACCTAAGCATCTCATCCCCCAAGCCCTAAGCATCTTTACACTTTTTTCACCCTGAAGCCTACATGACATGTCCAAAATGCTTTTGTTGTAGGGTTTGGGGTTTAGGGTTTAGGGTTTAGGGTTTAGGGTTTAGGGTTTAGGGTTTAGGGTTTAGGGTTTAGGGTTTTCTTACACCCGAATACGTCTGAACGCTTAAGCCCAAGGCCTCTCAAATATCTTACCCAGCCCTAGTATCTTAAAGATCTTGACCCCTTAGTGCTAAATATATCTTCAGCGCTAGATTTGAATGCATCCCGTGTCTGCAGGAGTCTCCCGTGAACCTAACCGCCGCGGAGGGAGCCTGAGACACATGTTGAAGGAAGAGAACAGCCTACTACATGTGGGGAACATAATTTTCCTACTGCCAAGCCTGGGGGAAAAGAGCTTCCCCATATGAAGGCACCAGAACAGCACTGCAGGACAACCAACATCAGGGCCTCCCGAGGGTATGGAATTGGCGCCCAGGTGCTTTGACGCTCAGGCGTAATTCTGCGAGCAAAACAGGAAGTCTTGTCAATCGCGCAGGCTAAGACCCCTGCACCCTAAACCGTAAACCCTAAACCCTAAAGTGCTTCAGGCAAACCCGAGGTCAACAAAAAGTACGTAGTATGGAATACGGAGAGCAGCTTTCCACAGGCGTAGACTCAGAGACTTCTCGCAAAGCATTTAAACCAGCTGTGTGCGCAAACCTGCGCGTGAGCACTCTTGTGCGCACTGGTCAGGCAGGACTTGGAGCTGAAGTGAATTGGGCAGGGCACATGGTCACGACGGGCTGCGCTGCGAACACGGTCAAAAAAAACGGTGATCAGCCTAACTTGATACTGGTAGGCTGGGTATTTCGTCGAAGCTCAAGAAAGATGACTTGTGCCACCGCATTCAATCATGCCATGCCCAATCTAGCTGCTACGGAAAAAAGTGTGAGACGAGCACTCGGCGCAACGCCACTGCAGCAGTGCACACCACCTCCTTGGGAGGCCCGGTGCTTGTGCTGCTGGGCTCTCGGGGTCCCCTCTGGGACTTCTTCAGTGCGATCGATCAGCCGCGATAGGCCACTAGGCACGAACCCGAAACCCTGAACCCTAAATCTGTACTGAACTTGGAATCCTAGCAAAAACTATTTACTTCTAGCTGTTTCTTAAGGAATCAAAATACCCCAAAATTAAAAATATTCCCCAAAACTCCGAAGAAATTGCCTTTTTCGATTGCTTATATAATGCCCCGAGCCGCTCAGCTTGAGAGGACCTCCCGCGCGTGCTCAGTTGCAAAATTCAATTCAGCTTGCTTTCTGGGGCGTGGCAGTTGCCCTGGCTGGGGGTGCAGGTGATGAGGTGGGCTGGGGTTCTGCAACCCTAAACCCTAAACGCTAAACCCTAAACCCTAAACCCTAAACCCTACACCCTACACCCTAAACCCTAAACCCTAACCCTAGGGATCTGCCGCCCCAAAGGCCAAGGGATTGCGTTGAGCTTGAGCTTTGGCTACCCCTAAGTCTAGGGCTCCTAGGCTGCCAGAGTTAGGGTTTAGGGTTTAGGGTTTAGGGTTTAGGGTTTAGGGTTTAGGGTTTAGGGTTTCGAGTTTAGGCCCGCACCCTTCATTCCAGATACGAGGCATGTCGCCCATCCAGCGATCAGCTCCTCAAAATCTGCTCAGCTTGGCCACCGCGTCTTCCTGCTCGGCTGCAGGATGGGGACATGAGACCTGCTCTCTAGCCCTAAACCCTGAAAAACCCTTAAAACCCTTAAAACCCCTTAAGACCCCGCAAAACCCCGTAAAACCCCTTAAAACCCTTTAAACCCTTTAACTTTAAACCCTTCCCCTTTAAACCCTTTAAACCCTTTAAACCCTTTAAACCCTTTAAACCCTCTAAACCCTCTAAACCCTCTAAACCCTAAACCCCAAACCCTTTCAATCTTACTCAAAACCCTAATGCCTAAAGAAGCTAAGAACCCACAGCTACCCCACAAGCAGCCTCATGTTCGACCTTTGAGGGCTGGAAGGCCTCGGGCTCCTGGGCGGAAAGGACTCGCCTATGGGGCACTTCATGCGGCTTCCCTAAGCGGTTTAGGGGCAGATGGGTTAGGGTTTAGGGTCTAGGGCTTGGGGCTTGGGGTTTGGGGTTTAGGATTTAGGGTAGTTTTCTGTGTTCCCCACAGCCGCCCGGCGTTGTGCTCTCAATTCCTTGAGAGAGTTGCCCCCCAACCCCCCTCACCTATCGCTGACCCCCGATATCCGGAATCCGGACTCTGACTGTGTCAAACGGAAGCCCAGCCCAATGCCTGGCGAAGGTTTCGGTTCTACCCTGATTCTCAACGAGCAACTCCCTAGGCTTCATACGCTTGTCGGCCCCGGGTTCTGGCAAACTACCACGTCGTAATTATTGCTTCGTGCGTAGCAAGATCTGAAGCTTCCGAATCTGGATCTGCATCCTCTCCAACTTTTACCCGCCCGAGGCAGCGGCAATGGCCATCCTCTGCTGGATGGTGCCCAGCTCTTTCCTCGCCGGGATTGATGCAGGCTTGGGCGTATCACGACAGGGTATGCGCCCCTGAAAGCTAAGCGTGAAAATGCATGTCTACATGCATATGTGTATCTATAAACAAATATAAATATAAATATACATATAAATATATATATATATATGCATTGGGCGTGCTTGGCTACTTCCATGTCTGACTCACAGCATGGGGGTCACCATCGTGTCTACTAATATTTCATTAGCTAGGATGGCCCGTAAAACCCTCTTAAAACTATTCCTGACTATCATCGTCTTAAACCAAATAAGGGAAAGCATAAAATGTCCCAAGGGCCTCCTGAGTTACGGCCCAGGAAAGCCTAGAGCGTGGGGCCCTGTCAACCGCAAGAAGACGCCACTTCAACCAGCCCTTTGCCATGACCCTCAACCCTCAACCCTCAACACTAAACCCTAAACCCTAAACCTAAGCCCTAACCCCTTTTGCAAGTGGGCTTGGGGACTAGCCAGATCCTTGCATCACAACCCTTAACCCTTAACCCTAAACTAACAAACCCTAAACCCAGACCCCACGGGTCCGTATGTGGTCCAAGGCTTGAAAGAGACGCATCACCTCGATACACCTGGCGCAGGTTTGACGGCTCAGGGCCTGACAAGTTTTTCCCGAGACCCATTGTCTGGGTTCAGAGACTTTCGTGAAAAAGGAAGGGGAGGGCAACCCTGCAGCGTTTTGCATCCATTGCACATCCGACCAGCGCCCCTTTCACTCCCATTAGATGAAAAAAATAACATAAAACGTAGCCCTTCCGAACCCACGGCCGAAAGCAGGTTCCAGGGCCCATGGTCCGAAGTATCTTGGTGCCATTGTGATTGCCCCTGTTGAATTCAGAGCTGTGACGGTCCTGTGCCCCTCCCAAGGGTGCAGTTTGGGGTCTCGGTTTAGGGTGTAACCATGTTTAACCTGAAATCAGGACCCCGCCCACCTCCTGATATTAAATACTCCCAGTATGTTGTCTATTGTTGCGCGTTGGCGATTTTTAGATTTAGGGGATGCTAGCCAGTAATGTTGCTGTGATGTGCGGAATGTTGTCCAGCCGTCATATTCTCGTTTGCCTACTAATTACACCACGCCAGGCTAATGAATCGTTCTTGCAGAAATGGAAGAGGACATTCAACGCCCCCTCCTCCCCTGTGCAAATGCCCCCATGGTCAACAAGTGCGATGACCTTATCGCCCTTCTTAGTTGTCCAGTACCTAGGGGAACTAAAGGTTAGCCTTTGGGATTCTAAGGGCATTCTATAACCCCAAAAAGGTTGAAGGTTGCCTACTCTACTACTAAGCCTTCTGGTAATTGCCTGTTTCGGGGGCTCCTGATGTGGTTGGGGTGCATAAGGGGTACAGTACCTGTATTTTTGGGAAATACCTATACCTCACCTCACTCGAATCATGCTCCAAAGACACACGATGGTGCACAACTGTAAGGTATGTCTTGAAGTAAGAAGAGTGACGAGCTCAAACATACTCGTGTCCCCAAAGACCGAGCTTACACTCAATTCCGCACTAGATGCGGGTTCCCCTAACCTTGGGATGTTCCCCCCTATACTAACAGTCCTTCATCGGGATTTTTGTACCGGCGACTACAATCCCTATTGAGGACTGCTAGTATCAGGGGGAACATCCCAACCCTAAACCCTAAACCCTAAACCCTAAACCCTAAACCCTAAACCCTAAACCCTAAACCCTAAACCCTAAACCCTAAACCCTAAACCCTAAACCCAGAACAAAACCTTCGCTGGTGCAGGCCTTGCTCCACCCTTCAAACGTAGCGTGCCCAGCAAAAATTCAGGCAGGCCAATCGTCCTTGAGTTCA